CCTCCAAGGTCCCTTCCAACTCTGCTATTGTATTGTATTGTATTTCCTTTTAAAAGAATCCTTTTCGAGATATCAGTTTAGTCTTCTTATTTCCTCGAAATGCTTTCATTAACGGAATAGATTGTCCAGATTGGCTTTGTGTAAAATATGCAAAATTTTAGTAAAAGTTGGGTCCCAAGGTGCTACATGGTATGACAGCAGACTCTGTATACAGCTTGGAATTTTTACTTCTTAATTCCCATTCTTTAAAATAACAAATGACCTTCTAAAATGTTTCCTTTTCTCAGTTACTCAAAGCATGTGAGTTATTTTTGTGCATTGAAGTGTGTATTAAGGAACTGGTCTTAAAGTTCCTTAGTAGCCCAGATGCCTTCCATTCTTAAATGCCACCAAAGTTAAATGCATATTGATGCCATTTCAGTTTTAAACTGTTCTGCCTAAACATACCCTACCCAAAATGTTCTCATTTCCTTCCTTGGTTTCACTTAGTTTTGATAGTACAGAAAATCTTTGCTAGCATCTTGGGAAGGGATAGACTGATGTTTGAGGTACTATGGGTGAAATTACTGTTTTTCTTGGCCTGTTGGGAAGTATATTAGATAATTCAAATGAAATGGAAAAAGGGATTTGCTAATAAATTTTCATGTGTCTCTAGTACCAAGATTTCATTAATTGTAAAAGCCTTTTTACAATTTTATTGTACAATTTTATTACTTTGTAAACTGAGAAACTACCATGAAGTAGATTGGGAGGCACAAGTGGGGAAAAAAAAGACTTAAGGGTGGAAGAAGCTATGAAAGGTATTTATGAAAAGTCTTGTTTTGCCAATCTTTAAAAACCTTGAGTATGAAATGCACCAAATGGTAATTCTTGGAATTATTACACAACCTTTGTGTAAAATGTCCAGTTGAATTGGTTAAAGAGTAGGGTGGGATCTTGGACTATATTTCATTGGAGGGAGTGGGAAGGGAGGGACGTAGGGAAGGAAGGAGTTACTCCTTCTCTGCAAGAATTGTACTTGGTTTATGATTAAATTCTGATGCTGACATAGTTATACAGAATATTTGAATATGCATATTACATGGACATTTATGATTTTTTTAGATTTAAAAGCCTCTGGATTTGTAAATGCTGAGAATTAACAGTATTTCTCTTGTTCCAAACATGTGGTTTCTGGATGAAATATTGCAGCTCAAGGATGTCCTTAGTTTAAAAGTTGAATTCTGACTGCATTTGTTTCTTGCTGGTTATGGGTTTTGCATGCTAGTGCATGTTTCTGTAATCATTGATATCTATTCTGATTTTCTATCCTTGTCACAAAATATTATTTTGTAAACAAAAACAAAAGAACAAGTGCCAGTAAAGTGGTGCAGTTTGATATATGGATTGCCTTTTATTCCCCACTTCTTACTTTTGATAGACAAAGCCATTCCATTTTATTGTAATGCATCTCATAAAAACTGCACAAAATTTTAATTCAGCATCANCTTGTCTCCTAGTTCTTAAAACCCACTGGAGACTAGTCTTGCGATCTCCTTGTGAGGAGTGATTGTCTGGAGCACTTGGGGGCGATCTCATTCCCTCCTTCTCCAGAGAGGTTAAAGAGCCAGTCTACTTATCAGACCTTGATTCTTTGCTGCAGTTAATTGGCTTTGCTTTTTACAGAACTGTCTTCACATTACCATTTCTTGTTCTGGAAGTCTCCTTATCAGCAATAATCTGAGCATATTATGTGAGAGACACTTTTGTGTAATCACTATACACACCGATTCTTCTGATCACTGAGGAGTATTTTGAACTATAATTATTTTTTCTTCATCTTAGGATATTTAGGAACTAAAACATAGGCCCATGAAATAATTCTTGAGTTGGTGCCTAATTGTGAACCTTCATCATGGAATGGGGGAACTCCATCCCATTCCACTCAGATAGATTATATTTATTTTAAAATGTTTCTGCTAGTAACTTTGATTTTTTACCATTTGACTTTCTAGGTTTTTTTTATTTCCTGAAAAAAACTAATAGAATTTTTAAAGGACTATTGCATAGGGAAATATAAATATTTTTTGTTTCCTTATTGCTTTTCATCCAAAATGGATCGTTGTGATCTTTTTGTACTGAGTAGTACAAAATAATTATATATATTTTAAAATCTCACCTGTAATTGAAATATGCAGGGGTTATGCATAAGAAGATAGGCTGTCTACTCTTAGGGCACATAGTATTGTTACATTTTAGTTTTAAATTTTGCATTTTGACTTTTTTGGGAGTGGGGGAGATGCCAAGAAGATTCAACTGCCTTTGATAATAAGAGTATCTAAAGAAGGACTACACAGCATACAGTATTCAATTTTTGGATTTATTTATTTTTTAGTTGTACAATATCTTTCAAATTTTCAACTTTAAATTCAAAATTAGTATTTCTATTAATTTTAAACATTTATTTGATCAATAAATGAAAGCACTGTATATTTCATAAAATAAATATCAGTTTTACCATGTGATTTTTTTATTTCATCCAAGCCTCCATTTGTTACATAATAAATTATATGTTTTCATATCTAAATTAAAAGCCATTTGGCTTTCCTAATTTTGTTTCATTGAATTATATCTATCTTAACATTAGCAGAAAGTATTTCCATTTGTGCAAGATAAAATACTCGGTATTGAGTTGTACTATAATTATTCATGCCATATTTAATACTGTAGTATTCCAGAAGATTTCTCAGCTCTCAAGACAAGTCTGTCTGGAAGGATTGGAACAAGGAATTACAGTGGGAAAAAAATAGAGTTTTTAAATTGGGGGCTTTATTTTGCAATAGTGCAAAATCTTTGTTAGATACATTCTTGATTTATTATTATTTTTAAATAAAGAAACAACCATATTAATATAATTATTGGGATTATTCTGTTTTGTATGCTATAAATTTTTTAATATTATTTGGAAGAAAATATGTAATCTGTTTTTACTGTGTGATGCCATTTCCTCCCCTATGACTAATTGTCCTCT